GACACGAGTTTGTAGAAAAGATATTAACCCAATTTTTTTCTATTGAAAACATAATAAAGCATATATATCAGATATCACTAAAAAAACTATATTTCGATTAAACTCCTGTTCTAAACAAGTAAAATAGACATAACTTTGAATAATAATTTTTATCGATTCACTTTTAGTTCAGTTCTAGTTCAGTTCTAGTTCAGTTCTAGTTCAGTTCTAGTTCAGTTCTAGTTCAGTTCTAGTTCTAGTTCAGTTCTAGTTCAGTTCTAGTTCAGTTCTAGTTCAGTTCTAGTTCAGTTCTAGTTCAGTTCTAGTTCAGTTCTAGTTCAGTTCTAGTTCTAGTTCTGTTCAGTTCTAGTTCTAGTTCAGTTCTAGTTCAGTTCTAGTTCAGTTCTAGTTCAGTTCTAGTTCAGTTCCTAGTTCAGTCCTAGTTCAGTTCTAGTTCAGTTCTAGTTCTAGTTCTAGTTCAGTTCTAGTTCAGTTCTAGTTCAGTTCTAGTTCAGTTCTAGTTCAGTTCTAGTTCAGTTCTAGTTCAGTTCTAGTTCAGTTCTAGTTCAGTTCTAGTTCAGTTCTAGTTCAGTTCTAGTTCAGTTCTAGTTCTAGTTCAGTTCTAGTTCAGTTCTAGTTCTAGTTCAGTTCTAGTTCAGTTCTAGTTCAGTTCTAGTTCAGTTCTAGTTCAGTTCTAGTTCAGTTCTAGTTCAGTTCTAGTTCTAGTTCAGTTCTAGTTCTAGTTCAGTTCTAGTTCAGTTCTAGTTCAGTCTAGTTCTGTTCTAGTTCAGTTTAGTTCTAGTTCAGTTCTAGTTCAGTTCTAGTTCAGTTCTAGTTCAGTTCTAGTTCAGTTCTAGTTCAGTTCTAGTTCAGTTCTAGTTCAGTTCTAGTTCAGTTCTAGTTCAGTTCTAGTTCAGTTCTAGTTCAGTTCTAGTTCAGTTCTAGTTCAGTTCTAGTTCAGTTCTAGTTCAGTTCTAGTTCAGTTCTAGTTCAGTTCTAGTTCAGTTCTAGTTCAGTTCTAGTTCAGTTCTAGTTCTAGTTCAGTTCTAGTTCAGTTCTAGTTCAGTTCTAGTTCAGTTCTAGTTCAGTTCTAGTTCAGTTCTAGTTCAGTTCTAGTTCAGTTCTAGTTCAGTTCTAGTTCAGTTCTAGTTCAGTTCTAGTTCAGTTCTAGTTCAGTTCTAGATCAGTTCTAGTTCAGTTCTAGTTCAGTTCTAGTTCAGTTCCAGTTCAGTTCAGTTCAGTTCTAGTTCAGTTCTAGTTCAGTTCTAGTTCAGTTCTAGTTCAGTTCTAGTTCAGTTCTAGTTTTTTTTTTTTTTTTTTTTTTTTTTTTTTCATTTCATTTATTTATTTATCAAGGAAATTATACAAAAACATTTTTGATTAGTACTAAACCCGCTAAGCCGTTGGGCTTGTCAGCAGGATAAATAATTATAAATAATTATAAATATTAATATAAATTTATAATACATAGTAAATTAATTTTTTATATAAAGGAAATAATTGTTCATTGCGAACTTATAAAAAACTGTTTAATTAATTTTTTTCTCTTCATAACATTTGTAGTGTTTAGTATAGTTATAGGAAGCTTATTAATAATAGTTGGTAACATAACAGGTAATGTGCTTTTCCCATACTCATTATAAAAACGTTCTACTTTAAATCTTTTTTGACTGCGACGCCTGGTGTTGTATCCGTGGTCAATAGGATGTAGGAATCTACTGTCATCGAAAAAGTCGCTAGCTAGGCTTGTAGAGTATATTCTGTTTACATTGAGTATATTCAATTCTTTTGGAAAACTTCTGATGCTGTTTATGTTCGTGTTGTTGGTGATTCTAGTGTTGATGTTGATATTGTGCTGAGGTTGGATAACGTTTATGTTATTTAGTTGACCTGTGTTACAGATTTCGCTTGCATTAGTAGGATTATGTTGTGTTTGGTGTGTAGTTATTTCGTTATGAGCTGCGTTGTTAATCATAGAGTTATTAATGTTGTCCATGAGATTTGAGGATGAATCAGTTGAAGTTGATTCTGATGCGTTTGTGTTGTGTCTTATGTTGTTGATTGTGCATGTGCTGGTATTTCTTGAGTTATTATGATTTTTCCAGAGTATTTTGAGGATTTGATCTTGGGTTTTTTGCAGTGTTTTACTATATTTGGCGCTTCCCCAGGCAGAGATCCCATGTCTTATATAGGATTCCGCAAGTGAGAAGTAAGCCTGCCTAAGAACACTGTATGTAGCGCAATTACTTAAATGATATAACACGTATGATGCTTTCCGAAGTTTTTTTCTTATTTCATTTATTTGCGGTTTCCATTTGAAGCAATTGTCTACGTAAACACCTAAATATTTGTATGTCTTTACCAATTCAATATTTGTTGTGCATGTTTCGGGATTGCCAAGTGAATATAGATTTTGAGCTCTTTTGTGTAAACATGATGTATCATGGAACTTTATGACAATAGGGGTATCTATTAGGTGACGTGGTTTTATATGCATTAATTTCGTTTTATTTGCATTTATAACTAAGCCATTATCATGGCACCATTGTGCAGCAATATCTAATTGTTGTTGCATTAATTTTGTTGCATTTTGTATATTTTTATCGGCGACAATAATTGCTGTGTCATCAGCATAAGCAAAATTTACACTATCATTTAGAGATTTAAGCATATCGTTTGCGTATATGATATATAAAATAGGTCCCAGTTTCGAACCTTGAGGTACACCATATTGGCTTGACATTTCTTTACTTAATTTTTCATTGATTTTGACTCTATAGGTTCTGCATTCGAGATAATTTCTAAACCATTTCAATGTTTCGCCTCTGATTCCAGATTTATTTAGAATTTGTATAAGTTTTTCGTGTGAAAGGGTGTCAAATGCCTTACTAAAGTCAATGAATAAAACAAGACAGTGGTAGTTTTTGCTTAGACATGAGTTTATGTAGTTTGAGAAATTTGCCAGGAGTTTGTTGATGCTTTTGCCTTTCTGGAAGCCAAATTGATTTGGATTGATTATTTTATATTTTTCCAGAAATTGGGTTAGTCTTCGTACAACAACTTCTTCTAAAACTTTTTCAATAACAGGCAAAATAGATATTGGACGGTAATTATTGTATTCGGATTTGTTTCCACTTTTGTAGATAGGCCTTATAATCGATGTTTTAATAGAGTTGGGACAATTGCGTTGTTTAAACTACTATTTATCAATTTCGTAATTACTGGTGTCATTATAGCAGCATTATTTTTTAAGTCTTTCGGTCTAATATGGTCAAAACCAGCGCCTTTATTAATGTTTAGAGATTTTAAAATATTATATATTTCATTTTCATCAGTTTGGGACAAAAATATGGAGTTTTGTTGAGAATATTGTGTATTGTTTAGTGTTTTTATGTTGCAGTTATGTATTATGTTTTTAACATTATCATTAAAGTTAGATGCAAAACTATTTAAAATGTCATTAATATTATCGTTTTCAAAGTTTTTTACTACAAAATCATCGATATTAGTTGTTTTTTTACCAATTATTTCGTTAATTATTTGCCAAGTAGCACGAATATCGTTTTTCTTTTCAATTAGTTTCTTACGGTAGTAATCATTTTTAGCAAAATTTATTTTTTTATTTAAATTGTTTCTAAATTGTTTATATTGTTTTTCAAGACTTTTATTATTTTTATTGTTTTTCCATCTTTTAAAAAGTTTATCCCTAATATCACAGTATTTTATTAAATCTTCACTTATCCAAGGGTTGGATGATCTTTTTTTGCATATTTTTTTGTTTTCACATGAACCATTATAAATTTCACAAAATTTTTCGTGTATTGTCTTATAAATATCATTTGTATTTTGTGTATGATTTATTAAATGATTCCAATTTGTTTCACGTATTTTCTTATTCACCAAAACGTTGTTTATTTTCCACCCCTGACTAATAAGGTTTCCCATACCCTGATTGTTTATGTTTTGTTTATTTGTAGAGAAGAAGAGAGAATAATGGTCTGATATTGTTGTTGTGATTATTGATGCATGTGTTTCAGTATTCGATTCTTTGCTTTTAATAAACAAGTGATCAATACATGTGCTTGTTGTTGTACTTAAATCTTCACGTGTATACTCATTTATCATGCTTTTCATACCATTCGCAAGCATCATATCGAGATATGTTGTTGCTGATCTACTTTCTTTTTTTATGTCGATATTTATGTCTCCTACAATAATGATGTCTTGCTTATTTTTTATTTTGTTTATTATTGTCTCAAGTTCAATTACGAACTCAGAGACTTTTAGGTGAGGAGGACGATAAACAGAGAGCAGGGATGTAACATTGTTGTTGATATTAACGTCGATCTGTATGATTTCAAATGAAGATGAGTTTAAAGAAATTTGTGTGAGGTTTATGTTTTCCTTGGCGTACACCGCAATACCACCGCCCTTACCTTTTCTATTTAAGAAAAGAGAGTTAAAACCTTGAATATTATAAAGATTGTTTTCATCGTCGTTTATATTCGTTTCAACAAGAATAATGAATTTGATATCATTTATTATATGATTTATGTTTACAAGAAACGATGCAAAATTAAGACGAAGAGATCTAATGTTCATAAAAATTAGTGATAGAGGATAACTTATGAGTTTTTTATCAATGTCTGTAAATTGTGTTAAGGTTTGTTTTGGAGTTTGATTCATTTTGTGTTTTTATTTATTATTTGGTTTTTTGAAACATGTATGTATGTATATAAAGTTTATCAATATAAAGAAAATTAAATTGTGGAGGTGATACATTCAATATCGGCGGCATTATTAATAGAAACAGCGGGACTGTTCTCGGCTTTACGAGCAAATATGTTGCCATTGCGGACCCAGACGTATTTCCAGTTTGCTTCGTGGGCTTTAGTCTTCGTTATCCATAGTAGCCTGCGGTAGTTAAATGTTAATTGATCGTTAATATATATGTATTTGGCATTGCTATTTCTGTCTCCACTACTGTTTATTATTTGCGAGTCTACTCTATGGCGCTCTATTTTGCTCATGAATTCTATTTTTTTGTTAAGTGAAGAGAATTCCACTATTATTTTATCATTTTGTCTCTTAAGGCGATATGCTCTGTCGACATCAAATTCGTTTATCTCAACATTACGGGAGTTTGCGATTTTTTTCACAACCTCGAATGCAGAGATGTCATTGTTGTAAATATTTTTAATCTCAATGTTTTTGACTATTAATTGTTGTTCGAATTTGTTCATGCGTGTATCCATCGTTGTAATTTGTTTTTCTCTTGTTTTGTCTTTTTCGTTGAGATCAGAGACTTGAGTTACAAGGCTTGATAGGGTGCTTGTTATTGTAGATAAAGCTAATTGAGTCTCTTTGTTGTTGTCGTTCATTTGCATGTGTTGTTTGTTAAAATTTGTTACTAAAATTTCCATTTGGCTTTTTAGTTCCATCATGCCGGCCTGCAATTCACCTCTCAGCTCAGTAACATTTGATTCTACGGAGCAGAGATTAGAATTAAGAGAGCTTAATGATAATGACTCTTTAAATTTTTTTGCATTATCATTTCCTTCATCATCATCATTTCTTGCTTTCTTTTGTTGACTAGTCTCATCAAACACAACAGATTGATACAGGTTATTTTGAGATTTGTTTCTCGGTTTACAAACATGGCATTTCCAATTAGTTTTTCTCTCTCCATACATTGTAGCGTACGTTGACTCGGACAATGAAGAGCAAGGTAGGAAGTGGTAGTTTGAATTACAACTATAACATTTCACATATGATGTTGTTGTGATTTCGTTGTTGCACTGATTACAGAGAACTTTATTCATTGTTTTGCTTTTTCAAGTTTTTTGGATATTAAATTTTTAGAATTTTTTCTTTTTTATTATATATTTATTTTAGGAAAATGTTTTTTGAAAGGTTTTTAGCACCAGTGAATAGGTATTTTTACACTTTGTTTATATTTTTGGTTTTTTAATTTTTTGGTAACGATTTACCCACAAGAATCGATTTCTTTATAGCACAGATAAAAACACAACCGTTCGCATAACTGCACAACTGACTATCTAGTTCTAGTTCAGTTCTAGTTCATTCTAGTTCATTCTAGTTCAGTTCTAGTTCAGTTCTAGTTCAGTTCTAGTTCAGTTCTAGTTTCGTTCTAGTTCAGTTCTAGTTCAGTTCTAGCTCAGTTCTAGTTCAGTTCTAGTTCAGTTCTAGTTCAGTTCTATTTCAGTTCTAGTTCAGTTCTAGTTTCAGTTCGAGTTCAGTTCTAGTTCAGTTCTAGTTCAGTTCTAGTTCAGTTCTAGTTCAGTTCTAGTTCAGTTCTAGTTCAGTTCTAGTTCAGTTCTAGTTCATTTCTAGTTCATTCTAGTTCAGTTCTAGTTCAGTTCTAGTTCAGTTCTAGTTCAGTTCTAGTTCAGTTCTAGTTCAGTTCTAGTTCAGTTCTAGTTCAGTTCTAGTTCAGTTCTAGTTCAGTTCTAGGTTCAGTTTCTAGTTCAGTTCTAGTTCAGTTCTAGTTCAGTTTCTAGTTCAGTTCTAGTTCAGTTCTAGTTCAGTTCTAGTTCAGGTCTAGTTCAGTTTCTAGTTCAGTTCTAGTTCAGTTCTAGTTCAGTTTCTAGTTCAGTTCTAGTTCAGTTCTAGTTCAGTTCTAGTTCAGTTCTATTCCAGTTCTAGTTCAGTTCTAGTCAGTTCATTTCTATTTCTAGTTCTTCGAGTTCAGTCTAGTTCAGTTCTAGTTCAGTTCTAGTTCAGTTCTAGTTCAGTTCTAGTTCAGTTTTAGTTCAAGTTCGAGTTCAGTTCTAGTTCATTCAAGTTTCTAAGTTCAGTTCTAAGTTCAGTTTCTAGTTCAGTTCTAGTTCAGTTCTAGTTCAGTTCTAGTTCAGTTTCTAGTTCAGTTCTAGTTCAGTTTCTAGTTCAGTTCTAGTTCAGTTCTAGTTCAGTTCTAGTTCAGTTCTAGTTCAGTTCTAGTTCAGTTCTAGTTCAGTTCTAGTTCAGTTCTAGTTCAGTTCTAGTTCAGTTCTAGTTCAGTTCTAGTTCAGTTCTAGTTCAGTTCTAGTTCAGTTCTAGTTCAGTTCTAGTTCAGTTCTAGTTCATTTCTAGTTCAGTTCTAGTTCAGTTCTAGTTCAGTTCTAGTTCAGTTCTAGTTTCAGTTCTAGTTCAGTTCTAGTTCAGTTCTAGTTCAGTTCTAGTTCAGTTCTAGTTCAGTTTCTAGTTCAGTTCTAGTTCAGTTCTAGTTCAGTTCTAGTTCAGTTCTAGTTCAGTTCTAGTTCAGTTCTAGTTCAGTTCTAGTTCAGTTCTAGTTCAGTTTCTAGTTCAGTTCTAGTTCAGTTCTAGTTCAGTTCTAGTTCAGTTCTAGTTCAGTTCTAGTTCAGTTCTAGTTCAGTTCTAGTTCAGTTCTAGTTCAGTTCTAGTTCAGTTCTAGTTCAGTTCTAGTTCAGTTCTAGTTCAGTTCTAGTTCAGTTCTAGTTCAGTTCTAGTTCAGTTCTAGTTCAGTTCTAGTTCAGTTCTAGTTCAGTTCTAGTTCAGTTCTAGTTCAGTTCAGTTCAGTTCAGTTCTAGTTCAGTTCTAGTTCAGTTCTAGTTCAGTTCTAGTTCAGTTCTAGTTCAGTTCTAGTTCAGTTCTAGTTCAGTTCTAGTTCAGTTCTTTCAGTTCTAGTTCAGTTCTAGTTCAGTTCTAGTTCAGTTCTAGTTCAGTTCTAGTTCAGTTCTAGTTCAGTTCTAGTTCAGTTCTAGTTCAGTTCTAGTTCAGTTCTAGCTCAGTTCTAGTTCAGTTCTAGTTCAGTTCTAGTTCAGTTCTAGTTCAGTTCTAGTTCAGTTCTAGTTCAGTTCTAGTTCAGTTCTAGTTTCAGTTCTAGTTCAGTTCTAGTTCAGTTCTAGTTCAGTTCTAGTTCAGTTCTAGTTCAGTTCTAGTTCAGTTCTAGTTCAGTTCTAGTTCAGTTCTAGTTCAGTTCTAGTTCAGTTCTAGTTCAGTTCTAGTTCAGTTCTAGTTCAGTTCTAGTTCAGTTCTAGTTCAGTTCTAGTTCAGTTCTAGTTCAGTTCTAGTTCAGTTCTAGTTCAGTTCTAGTTCAGTTCTAGTTTCAGTTCTAGTTCAGTTCTAGTTCAGTTCTAGTTCAGTTCTAGTTTCAGTTCTAGTTCAGTTCTAGTTCAGTTCTAGTTCAGTTCTAGTTCAGTTCTAGTTCAGTTCTAGGTCAGTCTAGTTCAGTTCTAGTTCAGTTCTAGTTCAGTTCTAGTTCAGTTCTAGTTCAGTTCTAGTTCAGTTCTAGTTCAGTTCTAGTTCAGTTCTAGTTCAGTTCTAGTTCAGTTCTAGTTCAGTTCTAGTTCAGTTCTAGTTCAGTTCTAGTTCAGTTCTAGTTCAGTTCTAGTTCAGTTCTAGTTCAGTTCTAGTTCAGTTCTAGTTCAGTTCTAGTTCAGTTAGTCAGTTCAGTTCAGTCAGTTCTAGTTCAGTTCTAGTTCAGTTCTAGTTCAGTTCTAGTTCAGTTCTAGTTCAGTTCTAGTTCAATTCTAGTTTCAGTTATAGTTCAGTTATAGTTCAGTTATAGTTCAGTAGTTCAGTTCTAGTTCAGTTCTAGTTCAGTTCTAGTTCAGTTCCAGTTCGGTTCTAGTTTCAGTTTTAGTTTAGTTCAACATTTGCTATGCTATATCTTGTGATGAAGATATATTCAATATCGGATGCAAAAACTCTACACTATATCGTAAAATTTACCTACAAAAATTTCTTAAGATCATTGATTTTTAATTTTCTTTGAAAAACTCCATAAAATGACAAAAGTAATAATCAAAGAAAAATCATGTCAGAAACTACAAATACTCTTAATATTTTCCCAAAAAACTTTTTCATGTTCATTACAAATTCCCCAAAAAAGAATGAAGAAAATAAGAAAGTTTCCAGATTTAGTCTTTTTTAGCCACAAATGATTGAAATATTACAAAAGCGTTAAATTTCTTTTTTGAAAAGTTCAAAAGTTGCATACATTTAAGCTAGTTTTTGTTTGTGAAATATCATGATAGTTTGTTAACATTGCACTATCGAATTCAAATTCCCCATTAGAAACAAAAAATCAGACAACCGAACAGTAACCTTTAACCCCAATATACAACAATTACATGATTACTAAGTATTTTTGTATTTTGTTGCCTCTTTTTGATTGGATACAATAAAACTGCTATTAAAAAAAACCCAAAATGAAATGCAACAGAAACTCATACATTTAAACTTTAATCAAGTTTTGAAAATTTTTAAGCCGTTTTTTTTCTTTTTTACAAACAACAGGAATTTGAATACAAAAGGCAAGAATGAAAAAGGAAAAATCCGGAAAAAGTAGAAAAAATTGCCCAGACTTTGATGACGACAGCGATAGCGTTTGTTGAATAGTAGACAGTTAAATTATGCAGATTTTAGTCTATAGAAGTCTGTCTCTAAACCTAAAAAAACCTCAACTAACTTAAAAAAGTACTACAAAAACACCACAAAAAAAAAAGAAATATACCACGAACCACCTTACCCCACAAAAACCGCGAAAATGCAGTTAAATAAAAAAAAAAAACACGTAAAGCTCGAGGTAAAAGTCAGCCAGAGCAAAAACTAACAGTTGCAGTTAGTTGCAATTGCAAAGAAACAAATCATTCAATCTCCATCATACTACCTTCACTTACTTAAAGGCTCAATAAGCCAAGTGCATATAGCCTAGCCAAACCAATTCACTTCGATTCAACTCAATTCTAGTCAAGTCAAATCAACCAACCAGCCAGCCATCCATCTATTCATTCAACCAACCAAACAACAAACCAACCAGCCAGCCAGACATTCAGTCATTTAATCAGCCGGTAACAAGTTGCAGAACAACAATATAACAACTGCAACACATACAAAAAAACATAAAAAACCTATTCACTCGTTTATACAATTTCAATACAAAATACTTTAAGCTTAAAGGTAAAATGCGACTAAATAAATGTATAACTCTGAGTATCTCTACTGTTAGTTAAGAGCTGCAAATAGCAAATGATTTACTATAAATAATAAAAACAACCAAAACTACAATTAATTGAAAAATTCAAGAAATCAGAGTCAAGTGATTTTAAACTGAGTCGCAACGACTTGGGTAACACGCTATAGTTTGAGAACATTTCAATAGTCTGCTCAATATTTTGTTTAAACGATAAGTAATTGATTTAAACGAACTGCGCAGCAAAAAATCTTCAATTTTTGTTAACGACCAGTAGTTATTTCATATATTACTTGGTAATGAGAGGTCATTATCAACCATATTAATTAAAGATTTGGTAAAGATTTGGATTTGTTATAGCCCCATTGTCTACAGACAGATAAATTTTCGAAAATTTATCTGTCTATAGAAAATTTTTTACAAAACCTTCTTAGAAAATTACACTTTTTATAAAAATTTATAGAAAATTTCATACTATTGAAAGTTTTATCAAACTTTTAAAGAAAATTTGATATAAAATGAAGGAAATTTGAAAAAATTTTCTATAGAAAAGAAAAATTTTAGAAAATTTTTCTTTATAGAATAAAAGTGTTGGAAAAATGTTTTATAAATTTTTCTCTCTCTATAGAAAATTTACTATAAACTTTCTATAGAAAATTCGTAGAAAATTTCACTTAATTTTTCAAGTATTTTTAAAGAAAATTTTATATAAAATAAAGAAATTTTTGAAAATTTTTCTTTTGATAGAAATTTTTA